TAGATAGATAGATAGATAGATAGATAGATAGATAGATTACATATTTGGAGTAAATAGTAATGTCGGGATTAGTTTGAATGCTATTAGTAACTAATACTAATAGAAGGCTACCCTCCCAAATTTGCAATCAGTTAAAAAGGGGTGTATTTCCGTGAAAAAAAGGAATTCTATTATGACTAGTCGGCGGGGAGGCGGTATTCGGTGTAACGAACTGGAGTGCAGGGTTAGTTCCGCGGGGAATCTGACCACTTTGCTAATAGCAGTGATCGAATGAGTCCAACACGCCCCAACACATTTCTGGCGCGATTCTTTTATATATAAAGTTGCTCGGGTGTGAACCATGACTCACTCCATTTTATGACATTCCCTTTGCAAATAAAGCAATCAAATAGATAAAATTATTTTCTCACCTACGAATACAGACAGCCAAAGGGCTTTTATGACAACAGAAGAGAAGGTGAAGCTTCTAGAAAATAACGATGGATGACACGAAACGAATTCCTTCCTTAATTTATTTTAAATATATTAAACAAATGGTATTTTAAAACTACTAAAACCTTCGACCTTCTCCCAGGAATTTTTTTTTTATTTCATTTATTTTTTTCTTTATTTGTTTTTCTTTAATCACACAGAATTTGTTTGTAAAAAAAAAAAAAAAAAAAAGGAATTACTTTGTCCCAAAGTTCCAGAAAGAGATTAGAAACCAATTTACATAATTTTATTAAGGTCTGACTTTTTTGTTAATCATTCCACCCCAAGCAAGGCAATAAAGCCACTAGGATTCTAGAGGTTTCTGATTGTTATATAAAATGAGAAAATTACTATTAAGAAGAGAAGACAAGAAAATGACAAGAATTAAGAAGACAATAGATAAAAATTAATATTACCTCCTCGGTTATCCATTGAAACTGTTACCCACCGAAAAAAAAGAAGCCAGTTCCCACCGTGGGTCATTTAAAAGATAGTTCGCGCAGCGGATTGGTTGTTACAAGCATCCAATCGGGTGCGCGGAAAACGTGATCTTTCTTCGTTTAATTCATTAAAAGGCCAGAGTAGCTGTTAGCGTTTGATAGTGAGGGGGAATCAGGGATTGATCTCCCCTGATTGGGTCAATTTGGTGATGGGGAGTGTGATGTTGAAAGACCCGAAACTCCCTGATGAGCCAAGTCAAAACATCACTGTCGACCCCCTCGGGCGCCTACTTAAAAGCGTATTTTCGAATTAAGAATTGTTAATACACTTAATTTTTTGTATATCAAAGTTGACTTTGAAAAAAGAAGTTGGAAGAGAGTTCCACAAGCAAGAAATTCGATAGAAAAAAACGGTTCATATAGAACGGTTACATCTAGCCATTTCAGTTGTAAAATGATGAGATCTTGCCGTCATTCTAGTGCTACACTTAAATTCATAAAATCTAGGTATCATGGCGGATAGTCATCCGGGCAATGACCATAAAAGTGTTTATAGAAAAGGCACAAGGAAACTACGTTATGGCGGTGAATAAGGGACTGAAGCCGATATGCCAGATGAGGATCAATCTCATTGCATATTTTTCTTTGGATTTTATCAAGAATCTCTAAATATTTCTTCAGGTTCATCAGACTAGATGTGGCAACAATATTCTAATCAAGAAAGAATGCTAGACTTATGAATTGTTGTTGTTGTTGTTTATTTAGCTACTGAGCACCACTTTTTTATGGATCAGTGTTAATTATTATTATTAGTAGTAGTAGTAGTCGTCGTCCTTTATATCACATCTTTTATGATGGTCACTTTACGGCCCTCATCAAGCAGCATGATTGTGTTTGCTGAGAAGCTCGAACTCTTTCCCCTTTCCAAGAAGCCTGTCCTAACGCGACAGCTGGCTTACTGATTGAGCTACAGAGAGTTTTGGATGCTGTCATCCATCTAACAATTTAACTATTTTTCGTTTTCTTCCATCGCTTTATAACTTACCACCAATTAGGACGCATGATTAGGAAAGTGATCTTGGAGAATTTAACACTCACAGAAACTATTGAAGGTATGAGGACAGAGAAACGGAGCGGGTAACCTACTTATGAAGCATGTGTAAATAGATGCCAGGACAGATACTAACAAAGATGATGAAAAGAAAAAACCTTACTAGCAACAAAGGATAGAAAGTTGTGGAGAGCCATGATTGTCCACGTCTTGAAGGGACGCGGCACTTAAAAGCAGAAGATGTCTTAGTACATGTACCCCGTCGATTTTTTGGTGCTCTTGTTCTCAGAACCGTGAAGAATTGTCTGTTTCACTGGACCAACCAAAGTCACGTATTA